ACACACAAGCGAGGAGAGAGAGGGAAATATAGTGAGAGTGTGTATCTATATGTGTAAGCTCTGGTTTTGCCTTCAAACTTTCCAACCAAGAACAAGGAGAAGAGCTCTCCTCTTATAGAGGTCCCCCTTGCAAAGCTTATACAACAAGCTTGCTTAGAGAGAAATCCAGGAAGCAGAGTTGGTGCCAGCTATCACAGCTGGCAAAAAATATCTACATAAAGTAGATGAACAGTGGTCGGCTACTCAAAAATGCCATTTTGACAAAATTGAGTGCCGACCGGCAAGAAAAAGTGCCGACCGGCAGAAAAGATTGCCGACTGAAACAAAACTCCAGCCGATGGCCTGTGGCTATGGCCGGTGGTGTGTGGGGATGCCTCACAAGGCATTCCCTGAACCTCCAAGGCAAAACACAAGTGTTTGGTGCAAAACCAGACACTAAATAGTCAAGTTCGGAGATCCTGAGGCAAGGCGCGTAGCCGAGACCTCCGGGAACTCCAAACGAACACAAACAAGGGTAATCACCAAGTGTTCCAATGGTGACGTCCAAGTCTTGAGAACGGGCAAAAATGGGGTGTCTACAGCATGCATAGCATAAGGTATGCTAATTTAAATATGCCCTAATACTAACCATTGAAAGCAGGTAATTAAACGGGAGAAAGAAGTGTGGGTTGGAAGATATACGCACACTCACGCACACTTATTACACAATTGCCCTCACTCGGAGGGTCCGAATAAATATTACAAAACAAATAGATAATTAACTCTTCTAACTAATTAAGTATTACATATCTTTTATTTAATTAACAAATTAAATTCGGAAAGAGGATGGCCGCAGCCCCGCCTCGGAATACTAGGATGATGCATGCTCGACTCGCCCCGCCTGGAAATCCGTGCCATGCCACTGTTGCCTCTGTTTACACTGCCTTGCCCCTCCGAAAATTATGAAAGTTCCCAGAACTGCTTTGAACTTCCTCCTAAATGCTGTGGAGTGCCACCGGCCAGAACAAAAGGTCACCGGCCATGGGAACAGGCTTATCGACCAAAGATTGTGTCATCGACTGGACACTTCTGGCCGATCGGCACTGGAGATGGCCGATCGGCCATTTATTCTTGCAGAATCCTGCAGTTAACAGCAGTAGAGGGCAAGCAGTGTATGGCATGGAATTTTCAAGCAAATGTGTGTATGGCCACTCTCCCAATCACGTTATGGACTCAAGGGAGTGTGGCCCTTGGTATTCGGGCCACCAATCACGCATTTCGATGCATGATGGCCAAAGGTACCAAGTTTGCAATTTAATGTAAATGCATGCAACAAACAAATGAGTGCCAATGCCCTATCATGTTGAGATCAAGGATATCAGCGACCGAGGATTGAGACGTGTTTCGTCCTCATGCTTGGTTTGGGTCAAACCCCAAACCAAGCAAAATGTAGTGCACGTATGCAATGTGGCTCAAATATGCAACATGAGGCTAAGTTACAAGACATGCCAAATGCAAGGTAACCTATCATGCAAGTATGTAATGTGCCAATTGCAAGTGTGTAATGTGCCAAGTATGCAATGCTACAATGCGATGCAACCTAACATGTGATGCAAACATGGTATAATGTAAGCATGTAATTAGAGGCAATGTGTCAAACATGCAACTATACACAAGGAGGGACTTAAACTGAAATGGGAGGCCTCGGCCACACCCCAAAACAGTGGCCAGAGCGATGGGTGAAGGCAGCTAAATGCAAAGTATTCAAGCATGCTAATTGGTCCATTACCTAGACCGCAATATCCAACTTTCAAATATGAGTGAGAGGTGGTAAGCATGAGAACATGGGATTATAATAGGCTCTGAAATCACATGAAGAATAATGCCAAATCCAACAAAATATGCAAGCAAGGCATGCAATAGGGCCCAAATCTTGAAGCTACCAAAGGGGTCCAAATCATAGCTATACCAACCAAACCCCACCAGACCAAAAAGGCTTAAAATAGTCCCTTAGCATTCCAAAACAAGACTAAAGTATGCATAGATCATGGTCAAATCATGCTAAGGAATGGATGCAAAACAAAGGTGGATTCAAGACCAACAAGAGGGCATTGTACCACAACCACCTCAACCACTCATGGCATGGGCTCAATAGGGCCCAAATCTTGAAGCTAGCAAAGGGGTCCAAATCATAGCTATACGAACCAAACCCCACCAGACCAAAATGGCTTAAAACAGTCCCTTAGCATTCCAAAACAAGACTAAAGTATGCATAGATCATGGTCAAATCATGCTAAGGAATGGATGCAAAACAAAGGTGGATTCAAGACCAGCAAGAGGGCATTGTACCACAACCACGTCAACCACTCATGGCATGGGCTACACAACCAAAAACAAAGTTTCAACATGCAAAATAAGCCCCCAAAACCCACTGATATGGCAGCCTAAAGCCTTAAACCAAGAGGCATGCATTAAGACATATTTCAAGGCATAAAAGAACAACACTTCAAGGCATGAAAGGGATGATGAATGCAGGCACACAAGCATGGATTAGGGGCTGAAATGACATGAGAAATGACTCCAAATCATTGAAACAACCCAACTAAAGCATGCTAATGACTCACACACTCAAGGCTTACAAGCCAAAATACAAAGGGGCTATACCAAACATGGTAAATATGATCAAATAAACTCCCAAAAGACCTTAAGCATGGTAAGACATGGCTAAGAACTTCACAAAGTTAGGCCAAAACATGAGAGCATAGTAGGCTAAATGCATAATGCACTTCTAGGCAAAACGGGGGAATACAAAGAAAGTATATTATGCATGCAAGGGACCTTTAATCTGACAAAAAATAGAGGTAAGATATGCCCAAATAACACCCAAAAACATCTGAAATGGAGTCAAGAACAGCTAATCATGCATGCTGCCCTTATGAGCCAAAAATGTAAACAAAAGAGAGACAAAGGGAGAGGGGTGTCCCTCCCCTGTACAAGACTTCAAAACCCCTTCTTCACCATTGAAAATCCATTAGATTTCAGTGGTGAGAAGGCCAATACACAAAAGTTCCCAAAGCTTATCAAAGAGAGCACAAAAGGGCCAAACAAGGCCTAAGAGGGGGAGGTCGACCCCCAACACCAAAAGGACCTGAATGAAAAATCTTAAGCATCCAAATACAAGACTTTTTTTAGTTATACACAAAGCTTGACTCAGTATGCAAGATAGGTTAAATACTAGTGCAAGATTGGGGAATATAAAGTAAATAGCTTTACCCTTGAAGAATACTTCAAGAACAGCAAGCTCAGGCCTCTTCTCCTGATCAAAACCGACCCAAAGCTCCAAGAACAAACCCTCAAGACCTCCAAAGTCGAAGTATGGTGTAATAGTAGGTGCCTTAGTGCAAAACTAAGAACTAAATACACTTTTAGGCCCTCAAACACACACAAATGAAAAGAGAGAGGGAGATATAGAGAGAGAGAGTGATATATATCAAATATATATAATATATGGTCTGGTTTTGCTGAACCTCTCTAATGGAGAAGAGAGGTCTCCTTATATAGACAAGGGAAAAGGCTAAGCTTCCAAGACAAGCTATCCTAAAGGGGTCAAGTCTTCCAAGGGAAGCTAAGCTAAAGGTGCAAGCTTCTTGAGGAAGCTAAGACAAAGGGTCAAGCTTCCTCAAGAAGCTTGAGCAAAGGGTGCAATCTTCTCTAGGAAGCTTGGACCTAAAAGGGTGCAAAGGTTCAAATCAGCCACACCCGTGCATGGGGGGCAGGGTCCGTGCATTCCAGCTGGCACAGCTGGCATGCACCATGCCTGCAAGAGGCAAAAAAGTGGTACCGGCCAGAAAAGGATGCCATCGGCCAAACAGAGTGCCGGTCGACCACCCAAATAACCAACTGGCCATCACCAATGGCCGGTGGCAATGACACACGGCCGATGGTCTCAAGACATGGCTGGTGATGTAAGGGGAGGGCCGGTGAGGTGTGGGGATGGCCAACAAGCCACTCCCTACCCTTCAAAGCAAAAACACAAGTGTTTGGTGCAAAACCAAATACAAAAATAGTCGAGTTGAGAGATCCTGAGGCAAGGCACGCGGCCGAGACCTCCGGAAACTCAAAACGAACATGAACATAGATGATCACCGAGTGTTCAAACGGTGACGTCCAAGTCTTGAGGACGGTCAAAAATGGAGTGTCTACACATAGTATATGATTTCAATAAGTGCGTGCGAAGTACTTTCATTGCTCCATTAAGTCAACTTATCTTGAATGGTTGTTTTGGGTTTCTTTGTGTCTATACCATTTTCTCATTTGAGCTACAGCTTTTGTGGTTACTTCTACCTCTTCCAACTTAATGTATCAGCATTACTGGTGTTATTGGTCTTCATTGCACATTTTACTTGAGCTCTCTCATCTCCTGAACTTGTATGAGGTTTATTTTGTAAACGCATTCGTTTGATTCTTCCTTTCGGTCTACTGCTATTCTTCTTTATCAACATTTTTATTACGTTGCACAAATATTATAGACTAGCAGGCATGCGCTCATGTGTTTCCTGTGTTATTGATGGAACTTTGTTCACTTGTATGCAACAAGGTTTTGCTATTTGCACGACGTTTGACTGACACAGTCATTTTGGACTTTTTTCCCCCTCGTAACAGGTTCGATTTCTCACCAAAATCTACCATCCTGACATTGATAAGGTTTGTTGTGTTTGTGCCTACACTTGCCTTATTAGTTGTCAGATTTAATTGTTCTGGCCTCTTAGACAAATGATCTTTCTTTGAATGCAGCTTGGAAGGATATGCCTTGATATTCTTAAAGACAAATGGAGTCCCGCTCTTCATATTCGAACTGTACTCTTGAGGTAACTAACGACGTTTGACTGACACAGCCATTTTGGACTTTTTTCCCCCTCGTAACAGGTTCGATTTCTCACCAAATTCTACCATCCTGACATTGATAAGGTTTGTTGTGTTTGTGCCTACACTTGCCTTATTAGTTGTCAGATTTAATTGTTCTGGCCTCTTAGACAAATGATCTTTCTTTGAATGCAGCTTGGAAGGATATGCCTTGATATTCTTAAAGACAAATGGAGTCCCGCTCTTCATATTCGAACTGTACTCTTGAGGTAACTATGGTTCTAGATGTTTTGCTGACATGATCCAATACATTTTACTTGAAGATGATAAGAATTGTGTGGTTCTGAACTGATTGGAAAAAGAAGCAGAATTATTTATTTTTAGTCGTTTTGAGTTCGAATAATTGTCAGCATCGTTTTATGGTTTGCTGATAAAATATAAACTCGTGATGTTGGTATTGTCTGATTATTTCGCTTTTAGCATTCAAGCGCTTTTGAGTGCTCCAAATCCAGATGATCCTCTATCTGAGAACATTGCAAAGCATTGGAAAAGCAATGAAGCTGAAGCCGTTGAAACAGGTATCCTGGCAACTTTGTCTTTGTAGTAATCCAAATAATATAATAAAAAGGAAAAGAAAAACAACATTCTCTTCATAGTTCTGTTTTGACCATGTTGACCAAATGATTATGGTTCCTAAATATGATGCTTTACATAGTAATTTTCTTCAATAAATTATATGGTCTTTACTGGATTATATTTTCTCTGAACTATGCAGCAAAGGAATGGACCCGTTTATATGCGAGTGGTGCATGATGAAAGTGGTGACCAGGTTCTCCGCAATTAACATAATATGCAATGTATCCTATTGACTGTTGACTTTAAATGAAAATTTTAAAGAATTGATGGTCAGATGATTCGAATTGAGTATTCTCCAGGCTTCCAACTACTGCTGATGACCTTGGATCCTTATCTTGAAATTGTATAATTATATAAGATGCTTCTGTGTCTTTTGATCATGGATTTTTAATTAGTGCTGTGACTTTCTTTTTTTTTCCTATCCTTCTTATTCTTCTTTCTTTTCTTTTCTTTTCTTTTTTTTTTCTTTTCTTTTTCTTTTTCTTTTTTTGGTTGTTTTTTTCTTTCTTTTGTATAATTATATAAGATGCTTCAGTGTCTTTTGATCATGGATTTTTTAATTTTTCTATGGGAGTTGGGGATTAGTGCTGTGACTTTCTTTATTTTTCCAATACACACAGTGCTACACTAGCATAGTATGAACTGGGAAACAAATTGCAAAACACTGTTAAGTTTGTACTATGATTGGTCAGTATGAACTGGGAAACAAATTGCAAAACTCTGTTAAGTTCGTACTATGATTGGTCAGTCCAACTATAGAATTGAAGCTCCAAATCTATTTGCAGTGTGGTTCACTTGCACACATTGCTGGAAATTGAGTTTTTAGTGGCGTTTAAAAAACGCCGCTATAGTTATCAAAAACGTCGCTAATTGTTTTTGTGACGTAGTGCCAAACGTCGAAGATGCGGCCGTCGCTGTAACTTTATGACGCTTTAAAAGCGTCACTATATCAGTATATGCGGCGTTTTTAAAAACGCCGCTAAATGTGCTGCATAATTGTACAATGACGTCACTACTCATTTAGCGACGTTTTAAAAATGCCGTGATAGGTAATTTTTATTTTCAAAATGTAACCATTGGTATTCTATAGTGACGTTCAAAAGCGCCGTTATAACTTCATTTTTTTAAAAAAAAAAAATTTTGTGCTAATTCTGTGAGATTTAACTCCAAAAAAATACCTTTTATAAAGATGAAAAATATATAATATATTGACTAAATTTAGGTAAACATAATACTAGATCAATTCATGCTCTACTCTACATTTTTTTTTTCTTTTTTTTTCTGCACAAAATGATGATAAAATGACAGGACACAATCTGAAGTAGAGAGCAATGGAGAGACATGATTGAGCATTAGAAGTGGTTTTTTTTTTTTTTTTTACATTATGAGTTCAGTAGGATAGGAATGACTATATGCAGAGTCCATTTGCCAAATCTTGAGGGAGGCTATGATGTTGGCCTCAGGAGCATTGTTGAACAAGAAAATTTTTGCATCCTCATAGATGGCCTTCGTTGGATATATCCGCGAAGTTATGCACGTCCTCCCGCATTGAGCGAAGCTTTCTACTATCGAATGATCCACCTAAATTAAAAATGACCCCACATTTTAATAATCCAAATTTTATTTTTGATAAATTTGGGTAAAAAAGGATACATATAACAGATCTTTATATCTAGTGAGATATAACAGATCTTTATATCCCCCACAACTCATGAGATGGGTTGCAAGCAATCAGCTAATCAGTAGAAAGGTACATGATACATATAACAGATCTTTATATCTAGTGACTATGACATTTCTTATAAATTTGGGTAAAAAAGGATACATATAACAGATAACAGATCTTTATATCTAGTGAGATATAACAGATCTTTATATCCCCCACAACTCATGAGATGGGTTGCAAGCAATCAGCTAATCAGTAGAATCATGAGATGGGTTGCAAGCAATCAGCTAATCAGTAGAAAGGTACATGATACATATAACAGATCTTTATATCTAGTGACTATGACATTTCTTATAAAAAAGGATCGTGCTTACTGCTTAGTATGCCCAGAATATGTGTTTTGGAATTATTATGTGATGTGGACTAGCATAGCTCATTAAATAGCCGGATGGATGAAAAGTAGCAAGTCAACAACATCAAAATAATTCAAATAAGGTAACATTTGCATGGTATGCACAAAAGAGGAAGATAGAAGACCCAGACCATCTTTCCTGCCTAGAAGACAGTCCTTCTCTACCAAATTATAACAGGAAGGAATGACACAACCATGCCCTTTCATATCATTAGCACAATCAGAAATAATTAATGGAAAACCAGTACAATTATATAACAAATATGGAACAAAAATGCATATTTCACGAGCCCCAGAAAATGCATCCATCACCTTTTCCACAGTAACATTTATATGACCTAGAATGAAGTAACATTAACGCTGTTAATGAATTTATCAAAATATAATCACTTGAAGGAAACCACAAGTTAACATAAATTACCATCACATAAATCAGGATCAAAGACAATCATTTCAGATAGAGAGAACTTTGTTCCACTGAACTTGGCAATTCCACTAAATGTTTCTGCATGTGGGAATTTCATAATCGAAGGTCTAAATCCATGCACATGGAAAATTACTCCAAGGTCATGTGAAGAATCAATATGGAAAAAGGAAGTTTCTGCCTGAAAAGAATAGCACGTATACAAGTCAATTAATACACATAACCAACATCAATAAATACTAAAGAAATCTACTAATTTATGGACTTCATCAAATATTTGGTTAGCCAGTATACACTACAAACATGGCATTTATTTCTCATTTTCCTGCCTATAAACTTTAAATACAAAATTATAACCATTTTCCCACCTTAAACAATCATGCAAATTTGAACCAAAAATGTTAGTCAAGAGTCTTCAAAAAAAAAAAGAATTATTATATCGTAATGCACTAACCTCCCTTGTAGCGGTGATTGTCCCACGAAGATCTCATAGATCCAACAGAGATGATCAGAGTTCCCATTAGCAAAACCAACACACTCAGTGCAATAATAACTCGAGCCATTCTTCAGATTTTCTGATTTTAAAACATACCTGAGAAGAAAACCAAACAGATCAAAAAAATGACCACATAAAGATTAAAAGAGAAACAAGATATAGAATTAGAGCATCAGGAAAAAGAAATTCAGTAATTGATTAGAAATGCCTCCTTTCCATTTCATCAGTAAATTCTTATTGAATGAATCTGTGAGACCTAACTCAAGAACAACAATACAGCAGAATAGGTAAAATTGGTGTTCTCCTAAAAGAGAGTCGCTAGTACAACCAAATTAACAATGATATGTCAAAAAGATAGAACAAAATAGTTTTCAGAGTCATAAGGTCTAGGAACTGATACATGTAAGGCTCCTTACAAGCAGATCGAACTTCAGTTTTCAGAGTCATAAGGTCTAGGAACTGATCATCCTCAATCTTCTTCATTAAAATTTTGTCTGCCTAATACAATGAGAAGAGCTTGAGCATCAAATAAAGGTCAAGGAACAAGATCAAGCATCATAAACCCAATGTTGCAACATCAGACTTCAATAAAATAGATAGAAAATAAATGAAGCACATAAGAAATGTGCCAAGTTGAGATATTTATTATCAACAGTAGACATACATCCGGGTTTTTAACTTCAACATTGTCTAGCTTGGTCATGGAGAAAATGTGTGAAAATTCAACCCAAAGACACAAGAATACATTATGAAACATTGAATTCAAATGTAAGCCTAAAAAACAATCATGTGGGAATATTTTCACCCTGCACACACACAACACACACACACACACACACACACAAAATACCAAACTGTAAAAAAAAAAAATTAATAAATTCTTCATAGCAAGAGGAATATTTTCATTTTGAAAATTAAAAAAACAGAGAAAAAAGAAGAAAACAGAGTAGTAGAAGGTTGGAAACTAACCTCATGATCATCCTCCATACTTGTTTTCTCGCTTCTTAAAAACTGATTTTAGAAACAACAAACAGGCAATTGCTTCCTTTCTAGATAAAGGTTTTAAAGAATAGAATCGCCAACTATATGAAATTTCGAAACCATTCAATGAGCTTCATAGTTAACCCAATTGAGCAGTAAGAGACAATTATAAATCTTACAGCCATAAAAAAAGTAAAGTTGCAGTCCTTCAGCAGGCCTATTAGCTTATTTCTCATGTTCTCAATGATCCAGGAGTGGTTACTATGTTTTATACTTTAAGGTTATTCACAAAATTAGAGACAAATGCGTGCAGTGACATGGAAGGGCAGTAACCAAATATGGATAGGAAGAGAAAAGAGTGGGTATGGGAGCAGACAACTTGAAACATAGAGATAAGGATATATTCATACTAGATTCAGGAGTCTAGCATGATAGGACCATTATATGACACAAGGATAAAAGAAGTAATTCAGGAATGACTATACTTTTCCTAAAATTTTTATATTACTGTCTCAAGTTGGAAAGGACAAGGTTGTTAATTGATCCATAGTACTTAATTACTAATCACTCAATTAGCTAATAAATACACAAACAAAATCAAAGTAAATTTTAATTTCCTTTACCTCTTTTTTGCATGATATTACAATAAATTCATAATATATCTTCTCAACTCTTCTTGTGTATACATCTTTTGCATCAAGAACAAAATAAGGAGCCAAAATCTTTTTATAGCTTATTTTCCACAGTAAAAATCACAAGAAAACTTCTTATGCCAGACTCGCACAAGAATTTATCTGCATGTACTTTACCAAAAGAAAGAATTTTTCTACATGAAAGTCTAAAAGGTCCCAAACTATGAGATATGCTTTCTAGATAGGGCGGAGAGAAGCAGAAGGGTAAGAGAAGATGAAAATGAGCAGAGATGGTTCTAAAACAGCATGTCAAGTTTAAAAAATAAGCATACTAATAAACTAAAGTCACTTGAAAAATGATCATTCTCCAAAGAGTGACAAAATAAACAATTTATTTTCAAATTTCATGAAACACAAACAAACAATTTACCAAAACAAGTCCAATTATGTTTGTAGGTTGCTCATAGTAGACTGGCACTCTTCTATGCCCTTTCTCCAAAATTAAATTCATCAGCTCCCTATTAGATATCAAGCATCATCATATATATGATTAGAACAAAGTTAAAAAAGACTTCAAGTAAACCTTCTATTCAAAAGTTGTCCAAAGCATGCAACACTTGTCAAGCTTGGCATTGATATCAACAGCAAAAGTGTCATATATGGGAGTCATGGCATCACTGGTTGTTTTCTCAGTAAGCCCAAGGGCTCCAGCAATAATTGTTGTCTCATCATGTGTGAGTTCTCCACCTTTTCCAGCCTGTTTACAGGTAATCAGAAGACTATCAAGTCACAAGATAAAACATTAGGAAAAAGAAGCTCTTTGCACTGGAGTTTGAAGTGAAAAATAAAAATGGGATAACATTAACTTCGGGAGACGTTTTTATAGACGAGAAAATTAAAATTCCTGCAAGTAGCACATTTTGTAGGAAAAAAGGAGGAGTATTGGATGGATGTTTTAAGGATTCCTCAATTGGAGACCTTTTTTTTCTTTTGGGTGTGGGTGGGTGGGCAGGAAGGGACATGGGAGGGGGATGGACCAAATTGCATCATAAATAAAATAAAAATAATGTCGTTAGTTCATAATACTTTCACAAATGTGTCTACTTACCTCATTACCATGCAAATCAACTAGTGTTTTCACCATGCTGATTTAACCAGGAAAATTGAAACATCATGATGCGAAAAATAGATTTGAGTTTTCTAAAAGCACTTCTTTAGAAAATGTATCCATGCTACAAGAACATAACTCAAGTTTTCTAATAAGCACTTTTTCTATCAGAACAGATGGGCAAACACATTCCCACCTCAATTGCCCATGTAGCAAATTGCAGGGATAAGAAATCAGTTTTAAGTAGGTACAATCGGGCACGAATACCTTAATAAACCATAAATTGCACTACAAATTCAAACAGCTGTCCACCTGTTCCAAAATTTATTGCTCTCTTCTAAAGAAATGTTACCTAAGATAAATCCCTCACCTCTCCAAACAGAAGTATCAATGTAACTGAAATCAGGATGGCACCCCAAGCAATAACCAGACTATCCAGAAATATGGGAAGTGTCTAACCAAAAGAACATCTAAAAACATCAAGTACTTCACGATACATGTTATTAAAAATAGCTTGTTTTAACATGTCATAATATATGTACCTCCATGGCAGCAGCATTGCATATAAGCAACGTGCAAAGCAATAAATGTTGTTTTCGGACAACTGGTAATATCTTTTCTGTTGTGAAAAAGTAAAAGATGTCAATTATACTGTATAGTAGTACACAATCAAAATAAAGAGAGAGCCAAAGAATGCAATACAATTCTACCAACCTCAGCCATATGCAGTGTTTGAAGCATTACAAAAACAAAATCTAATAGTACAACATATTTGGCATTTATAAGTTGTGTCATCACCCATACATCACTAGCATCATCTCAATTATATTTATCTTGCAATATTTGTTTTTCTATTTATCTAGTCCAGCTAAATACCCCCCAAATGGGAAAATGCATGCCCTATTTTCTTTGTAAGAAATGCCTTTTATTCATCAACATGCCACTGAATGCTCTTCATACATGCTTGTCACACTCACTCTCCTAACACTGCTGGAAAATACAAATCTGACTAATTGTAAGTTATATAGAGTTGACCAATTCAGATGAATTGAGACTAGCATTTATTTATATTAAAAAAATATATAGAATGGCAATTACACAGAAGAGAGAATACATGTAGAATAGAAACTGTTCAACTGCCTTCTCTCTAAGGCTTCCCCCAATTCTCGATCCTTCTCTGCACAAACGAAAATCATCAACCAAATCAACATTGTCCTTTAATAATGAAAATGCTGAAAATGAACCAGATTTTTAGAAGAAAATTTGTCTATCAGTACAACTAGATTTATCAGGTGTTTTTTTTTTTTAACTCCAAAACACTGATTGTAAACCCAAGCACAACACTTAAAATATAGAAAATAAATTATTATTTTTAAATATTCTGGGAATAATTACCAATAAATGTAAAAGCGATGATGATCGAGGCTTCAATTAATGCATCGCCAAAGCCATAATGCGGGAATCAGGTGGTGCTCACCTTAGTAGACGATGGTGCTCACTCCCCTCGCCAGTGCAGATGGTGGAGGTGGTGGAGCTTCGAAATCGAGAGAGAGAGAGAGAGAGAACTTCGAAATCAAAATCAAAATCGCCAATCGCTCAGAGATTCGATCTGAGATGAATCCCCAACCGCTCTGAGATTGGATCTGAGATAAATCACCAATGACTCTAAGATTGGATCAAACGGGGCTGAAGAAGGTTGATTCGATCGGTTGAGAGAGATTAGGGTTTAGAGAGGGTTGTGAGAGTGAGAGTAAGAGTGAGAGTGAGATCGAGATCGATCCAGAGAGTGAGTGAGAGAGTAAGCGAGTGTTTTGGGTCCTTAGACCCAAAATAAGACATTTGAAGAGAGAGAGAGAGAGAGAGAGACAGAGAGAGAGAGCGCGCGCGCGTGGGAGAGTTGTACATTTGCGCGTGGGAGAGTTGGACATTTAGAGGGGCTTTTACACGTCCTCTCTTGTGAAAATGGTATCGTTTTATTTTTTTAAAAAAATGTGGCGTTTATCAAACGTGGCTAAATATTGAAAAATATGACATTTAAAAAAACGTCGTTAAATCTCATTTTTCTTGTAGTGACAGCTGTAATTTCCTATATTCTCTATTTTATAAAAGCTGGTTAGGCCCGGTATCTCTTCATATTTACTGTGTAATTGCAAATTCATATAGAGCTAAATTTTAAGCATATGTAGTTGGAAGCATGTTGGATGCACACACATTGAGAATTATGATTAATATTTTTTTCTGTCTTTACATATTGTGAGTGCTCAATTTCTATTGGTGATGCCATAAGCCTCTATTAGATTGTTCATAAGACAATTTAATTTGGATTAGACTGTTATTATATTATTGGTTAAAGATCTCGATAACGTAAGCTGTGGTTAAGCATCTGGACGTGTGTTCGGCGCATGATGGTGTGTAGGAGGTGGAGTAATAACACAACATGAAACTTGAGTTTACAAAGAGATGGTTTCATTTTCCTAGCACTTATTTATTGCTTGGAAGTACAAAATTTTGTTGTGTCATCACATGGACAATTTCATCATAGCATAATTTGTATTAATTCTTGAGTAGCAGGCAAGCATTTTTGTGACCAAAAACAGCCACGCTGAATGCTGGAAAATGTTTCTCATTGCTGAATGAGTTTTTTTTCATCTTACACCCATCATTTTTTTTTCAGGTGCCAAGGGTCATTGAACTAAAAGTTCTTTTATGAGTCAACAATCCTGGTAAGCACACAATTGATTCTCATAGTATGGTCTATCTTCATTTTACTTTATTTTTTGATTGACAACAAAGAGTATCAATAAAGATTAAAATAAAAGTACAAAAGGATAGGCTTGCCTTTAAATTAAATGTGTATTTATCTATTCAATCATTTTAAATCCGAATGAGGATTGATTGAGGAATTTTATGATTATCAACTTAAATTTTCTACGAAACCTGAAATTTCAAAATTTTGCTGATGCCTTAGGGAATTATTGGAGATGCTGCTGTTTCCATGGAATTTGATCTCAAATGCTTACAGTTACAAATGGTTTAGCACCTACTCCATCATAATTGGGATGACAAAAAGGTCTTTTACATGCAACAAGTATTGGTTTTTTGGGAATTTTTTTTCATTCCATTCCATTCCGTTCCATTTTTGTACTTAAATCTTATTTTTTTTATAATGCCAATCTTATTCCTTTTTATTACATACTCTCAGAGTACATGTGACATATAGGCAAGCTACATGGAATTTAGGATTGTTTAGATTGTAGAAAATAGTTTCAAAACCACTCTTATTGTAGTAGTATTAGTTTAATAATATTTTCAAATTGGAAAAATAATGTTGTAGACCTTAGACATACGCAAGTAAATCTATATGAATGTATAGAGGCAATATTTGCAGATAAACACCTGTATAGGTGTATTTAAGTCTATACAAGTGTATTTATGGGTGTATTCAAAAATCTGTACTTACATAGGTTCATAGGTATGACTTAAAAGTATGATTGGTGGGTATCACTTTCTAGTTTACTAAACTAAAGTTAGTAGCATGTACAAATTATTGTCATGAGTTTTAGTAGAACTAACAGGTTAGTATAAAGTTGGCCAAGGGCAAAGTGGCTTAGTACTATGAACTCTCTCTAGTGGCACTCGTTTCTTGTTTTAACAGATTTTGAATACTTCAAAAGGGTCAATAACAATCGGGTTATACAAAGAAGGTTCTCCTAAGGGTGGTTGATGAATTTATTGACTTATGGTGGGTACTGGACTTAACTCTATTAAAGATTGATCTGTTATTATGGATTCTTATTTTCATTGTTCACATGGCTGACCTTGTTGGTTTCCCAAATCGTTATTTAGTTTGAGTGGTTCTTTAGACATGTCAACAGTAGTGAGATGAGATGGTTTAGTGTTTTTGTGGTCTTTATGCTTCTCCAACATGTTATCACATAATTTTTTTGGAATCTATCATTTTACTTGAACGTCAAGTTTTGCCTTCAGTCAAACAAAGCTATGAAAACTTTAATTTGGCAAGGCAATCTGAATTTCAGTATAGTTATGAACATGTATACTTTTGGTAAGGCAATTTGATGCTTTTATTTGTTATGAACATGTATAGTTTGGTAGGGCAATCTGATTGTTTTTAACTTGGCAAAGCTATGAAAACTTTAATTTGGTAAGGCAATCTGATTGTAATGGCAATCTGATGTTCATAATTTGGTAAGGCAATCTGATGTTCATAATTTGGTAAGCCAATCTGATGCTTTTATTTGTTGTATGATGATTATGTTTTCTTGAGTATGTATTAGTTACCATGTAATGGAAAGAAGTATGGGTAATAAAGAAAGTTCATGGTGATTTTTTGGTGTTTGATTATCTAAATGTTGATTGAACTACAATTTTTCAAGCAATATATGGACTAGATCTAATGGTGATGCTTATGGAGGTATTGTGACCATTCTAATGTTATTACCTATGAATTGATTTTTAGGTCTGGAGATTTTTAATAAATTTTACTGACGTTCTGGGGCTTTGGCCATTTATGCTAGATGAATTTGTTCAAACTTTTCATGATTATGTAAGTTCTTGAGATCCTTGTATTTAATTTTGCCTTAGACTATTTGCTTTATCCTTACTCTCATCTTATTGTTTTAGCTGCTCCCTACTATTTTTAGGATCCAAGGTTGTTAGGGGAGATTCATGTAGCTCTTCTAAGATCCATTATTAAAGATATTGAGGATGTAAAGGACACCCTTTTCAACTGGGCTGGGAGTAAGCCAAAATACTGCTGCCAATCCTGGAGGTGGCCATCCACAGATTGTTGAAGGGGTAAGCTTTGTTCTGTGGTTGGTTTTTGTTGCTGTTTCTATCTTGTTGTCAATTGTGGCTTGATTTTGTGTTTATTCATTCTGAAATACTTTTTATTCCTTTGTTTTACTTCCAGGCGTATGCTTGGGGCTTTGATATACGCAGCTGGCAGCGCCACTTAAATCCATTGACCTAGCCTGAGATATTGCGACAATTTGCTCCATCTGCTGGATTTGGGCCAAAATTGAAGAAAAGGAGTATTGAAAAAGCATATCTTCGTTATGAATTAAGGACAAGTTTTGGTATAATTCAGCAGAAGCATATATAAATTGTTGCAAACAAATATTATATGAAGGCCTGTCACCAAGATCTGGAGGACTTGGCCAACTCAAGATAAGCATGAATGTGAAGTCATCAGATTAATCTCACTCCCGTTTTTTATGCTTGCATTCCTTGTCTTGAGCTCAGTACCTCCTCCTTTATGGGGTAGATTAACCACACTTTTGTTTTCCTTGCATTCCTTTGTTCTCTCTCTACAATTCAATCAACCTTCTTGTTGGTTACAATTCACTTTTGGATATGTTATTTTGTTATTAATGGTGGTTAGATATTAAATTGAATAGAAAAGTGAATTAATGTTGCATTTTGAATGGGACTTATTATTTCATATTAGTGCTATTTTTAGTTTAATTACAGGTATTTTTTAGTTCAATCACATAAAATTAGCACAATTAAAAAAAAAGGCTCTTGTCTTGAGCTCAGTACCTCCTCCTTTATGGGGTAGATTAACCACACTTTTGTTTTCCTTGCATTCCTTTGTTCTCTCTCTACAATTCAATCAACCTTCTTGTTGGTTACAATTCACTTTTGGATATGTTATTTTGTTATTAATGGTGGTTAGATATTAAATTGAATGGGAAAGTGAATTAATGTTGCATTTTGAATGGGAGTTATTATTTCATATTAGTGCTATTTTTAGTTTAATTACAGGTATTTTTTAGTTCAATCACATAAAATTAGCACAATTAAAAAAAAAAGGCTATCACGGCATTTTTAAAAATGTCGCTAAATATTATACCAATGGTTGGATTTTTGAAAAAGAGATATGGCAACGTTTTAAAAACGTCGCTAAATAGATGGTGACGTCATATTACCGTTAAACGCCGCCTATAATCATATAGCGACGTTTCTAAAGCGTCATAAAGTTATATCAACGTCCGCATCTTCGGCGTTTGGTATTAAACGTCACAAAAAAATTTGACGGCGTTTTTAAAACCTATAGCGGCGTTTTTAAAACGTCGCTAAAACCCTCATTTCTAGCAGTGATATATGCAAAGTCTTAAGGGAGATATGTGTGTAATTTACCTATGTTGATAATGAATGAAATTTCTTAATTTATGAGTATTTTTGTCTTTTCATATATAGATTAAAGGGTAATATGATTATTTTTCTAGTTAAATAACACGGTTAAGATCGAAATTTTTTTTATAGAATCAATAAAAATAAATAAGATTTTTGTAATTATCAAAATAATAAACGAGATATCCATAATTGTCCGAGTGTAATTTACCCATAATATCATGGTTGGATCCTAATCCCTATGGCAACCCGTGATTGACAAAGAGGGACTCTCTCTCTCTACGTTCGTGGCCTGAGCACTTGATGCAAAGGCTGCAATGAAGTTGGACCATGAATCCTACAAAATATATAGAAAAATGATTAAGATATCTAATAAATAAATTTTAATGGATGTAAATCTTACTGTGATGCAATGTTTAGATTTAGTTTTATTTATTTTTATTATTTTTTATATTATTAGAATACAATTAAAATTTTAAAATTAAAGAAATGTATAATTGTTTCTATCTATCTATCTATACTATTATAATATGAACATCTCTCATGGTGTCTTGAAATCTTTATTTCTTACACTGTTACGTGTCTATTTTTTTATTTGAAATAAAAAAAAAATTACATAGATGAAAGGAGAGGATTTAAACCTTAGACTTATGTCAAATGAATAAAATTTTTACTACTTAACTAATATACAATATATGATAAATATTTTATTTTATTTTTATTTATTTGAATTACATATGTGACACCTACTAATATATATATATATCGACGCTCGTCCTTTTCCTCTTTCACTGGACTGGTCCCTTAAACTCCTCAAACCGTTAGCATGGGGAACACAGAGACTGCATGACAAAAGTAAAATGGCATCTCTTTCTCTCTCTATATATATACCCTTATCTCTATTTATCTGGATTCACCCTCTCCGGGCTCTACTTGTTACTCTCTTGAAACTCCCCTACCTCTTTCTAGGCCGGCGACGTCTACGTTTCTAGGGTTGCCCAGCTGGCGCGCTCTCTCTCTCTCTCTAAGTAGATGTACATCAGAAATAGGGTAACAGATAGGTAGATATGGATGTACAGATACATGCAAATGCTTTCACGAGCTTTTTGTACAGATCCACAGATTTTTTCCTTTTAAAGTTTATTTTTGTGCTTCTGAGTCATTGAATGAACCGACGAGTAAGGGAAAGCAGAGAGTGAGTGAAACAGAGAGAGAGAGAGAGAGACTCTGTACCATTTGCTGTATGTGGGGTGTGTGTCCTGTTAAAAGTCATAACAGTAACAAACAAAAGCCTCCCCAACTTCGTAGGGCTGTCCTATAACTATTAACTATATGGCTAAAAAGGATAGCTAGGTTTCGGCTCTTTTTACCATGAAACAATATCAACAATGATTCATCCCACTAAAAACATTACCACTAATAGCACTAATGCATTAAAAAAGTAAAAAAATAAAAATAAAAATACAACTCTAAGACCAAAACTTTCCCCTCCCCTCTTTTCACCACTTCCAAATCCATGCCTTCGACCTCAACCTCATATCCTACTGGTTGAAATGTTCTGAATAAATATCTTTTTAACATTTTATGAAGAATTATGTAAAAATATAAAATGAGTAAAAATATAGAAAGAAAATATTGATAAAAGTTTATAAATATTAATTGATGTAATCTAAATAAATATATATATATATATATATATATAAGCATATATTTTTTTAATACATACCAAACACAAACCTTATTATTAAGGATTATTCATCCGAGCTACTACTAGGATTTGGTCTTATTATGGGTCATGTTTAAAATATTAAACTTTCATTTTGTAATTTTATTTTACTTTATTTTATTTATTTATTTATTTATTTATCTTGTTGGTATCGTTCCAAAACAAACTAAGTTGATTTAATAATTATAATATATATAATTTATTGAGTTTGTTACCCAAAAAAAAAAAATAGTGTAATTTTCAAAAACATATTTATTATTCATTTTATTAGACACAAATATGATAAATTAAATAGATTATGACTATCGAATTGATCAAATTTTTTTTTATAGATAATATATACGAAAGACATAACATAATGAATTGTTCAAATTTTCAAAACGAGACTTGTGACAGACCTTATGGATCCAAACAATGCTCTTTAGTCCAGAAAATAACTCAGTAGCTACAATTTTAATCGTTTTTATATTTTTCAAAAGTATATATATTTCTACACGTACATTGTGGGTGACTGGAAAGTTGCTATTTTAGTTTTTGACTGTTTTAGTAGACTAAAATTTTTGTATTTGGGAAGATGATTGAATTTTTCTGTAATTGAATATGATGTTTGTGAGAGAAAAATAAAAACAAATATGGATTTGATGTGTCATTTTGTTTTATTAGTTGTTTTAGTCTATTTTATCTTTTTGTGAATTTAGCCAAAAAAAGAAAAAGAAAAAAAAAAGAAGACTAAAATCCAACTTGTCAAACATCCCCATTAAAAATACAGACAATTATATTACTAAAAAAATATTACTTTTTCTTTTCTTTTCTTTTCTTTTCTTTTTTTTTTTTGTTTTTTTGGCAATAAAAAAATTCTCATCATATTTAGAAAAATACTCTATGATATGCACTTTATATAGAAGTATAATTTTTACCAAGTAATATATAAGTTTCATCATAAAAAAGTATTTCTTCTCATCACAAAAAATGTCACTTGTTGTTTCTCTCAAAAAGTATATATTTTACTATAAAAAAATATAACTTTAACAATACATAATTTTAGGAGCGCACCATAACTTTTATTACAAAAATCATAATTTTTTAAAAATATGCAAATGCACATTGTAGCATTTCCCTTGTATTACGATTTTGTCAGCAAATGTATATGTGGCAAAAAAAACATAGTAAAGAAGAGGTGAATACGAGACAGATTTTATGAATCTCTGAAAATTATTTCAAAACACTAGTTAATCTTTCCAAAATATGTTTAGAATATGCTACAAACACCCCCCTTAAAAAAAAAAAAAAAAAGAGCTCAAATGCCTCGAATCTTCCTCTCTTTTCAACCATTCGCGTGACCTGTGTCTCGCTCACACTCTCTGTTTCTCTCCTCTGACCCTAGCGGCTTAGACTCTCTCTTCTCTTTTGACTCTCGTCCTCTCGCTGTTGGGTTATTGTTTGAATTTGTAGAGACAGAGATTCAAGAACCTGACTCGTTCGATGAGAGATGGAGCTCGAACTAGTTGGAGTGGTTGGTAGTTGTTGGGTTGTTGATATGGGTCCAGGTGGAGGGTCGAGAAGTGTAATGGGTCGTTGTCGGGTTGTTGTGAGAGAAATTGAAGGACTTGACTCGTTCTAAAATAGACAGAGCTCGGAGCAAAGAGTGGTGGTGGTGGTGTTTGTCGTTTGACGATGGCGATGGTGGTGGTTCATGGTTGTCACGACCCAAACTCACCCCTAACGATTTAGCCTCATGACCGGCCAGTAATCATAAATTACCTAAGGCCTCCATACCAATATCCATTTAATATAAAGTACGGGACTTAACGGAAGTATAATGTAACATAAAAATTATCTACTGAGTCGTGCGTATATGAAAGAACTTTGTATCACAAGCAAAGATTCATTCTTTAGGTTTAGAATATGCTACAAACACCCCCCCTTAAAAAAAAAAAAAAAGGGCTCAAATGCCTCGAATCTTCCTCTCTTTTCAACCATTCACGTGACCTGTGTCTCGCTCACACTCTCTGTTTCTCTCCTCTGACCCTAGCAGCTTAGACTCTCTCTTCTCTTTTCACTCTCGTCCTCTCACTGTTGGGTTATTGTTCGAATTTGTAGAGACAGAGATTCAAGAACCTGACTCGTTCGATGAGAGATGGAGCTCGAACTAGTTGGAGTGGTTGGTAGTTGTTGGGTTGTTGATATGGGTCCAGGTGGAGGGTCGAGAAGTGTAATGGGTCGTTGTCGGGTTGTTGTGAGAGAAATTGAAGGACTTGACTCGTTCTAAAATAGACAGAGCTCGGAGCAAAGAGTGGTGGTGGTGGTGTTTGTCGTTTGACGATGGCGATGGTGGTGGTTCATGGTTGTCACGACCCAAACTCACCCCTAACGATTTAGCCTCATGACCGGCCAGTAATCATAAATTACCTAAGGCCTCCATACCAATATCCATTTAATATAAAGTACGGGACTTAACGGAAGTATAATGTAACATAAAAATTATCTACTGAGTCGTGCGTATATGAAAGAACTTTGTATCACAAGCAAAGATTCATTCTTTAGGTACATACACCACATTAGTTCTAAACATCCCTATCTTATAGTTATACAAAACCCCAAAAAATATTAACAACTACAAAACCATTTGTTAGAAATTGGGCGCCCATGTGGCATGACCATTTTCCGAACCTTTTGAACTTTAAATTTGGATTCAAAACCTATTTGGATAACCACTCAGTATATCTATATCTATCATATCAACTGATATGAATAGATTGATTATTATCCTATATATCTGATATAATATGGGATATGGGTGATTAAGAGAATAATGACGTATGTCGTATGTTTTACCCATTTACTGACTCTCTCCCAAAATACAACGATCAAGAGCCATTTTGCACTGTGACTTGTGTGGGTGATATTCATTCTGTAATATCACTCCATTGTTGTGTTGATTGATCAGATTCAGGAAACGCGTGATTTACCCACGAGATCCTTCAATTCAGACTCTGCAGAAAAAGGTATGACCATAATATTTCATCCGTTGCGTTTATACTTTGCTTTACATTGGTATCAGAGCATGAATGGGTATTCTCTTATTTTCTCTAATAATGTGTATATTTTTATTATATATATATATATATGTACACATTATATACATGAATGTTTATAAAGGAGAAAATTTTCAACTCCCATTAAATTGGGAGTGCGGTACACCTCATTTTTATGTTCATTAAATGCGATTTTTGATGCCATAAATGTTTTTGTTGTGAAAAATGGAGTTCGGGAGTATCAAAATAAGACCAAAAAACACCCCGGAAGGCGCGCGCGCGTGCCTCACGCACTAGATGACGCCGTCAGCAGCGGGCATGCGCTGCCACACGTTCTCACGCGCTACCACGCGCTTCCAAGTGCCAAGCGCACAATACACGCTCCTAGACGCGTGTCAGTCGCGCTGTCCACTGGCGCGCCGTGCACTGAGCCGCTTGCTGGGCCGTTCTCTAAGCCGCGCGCTGAGCCGTTCACTAGGCCGTTCTTTGAGCCACACGCTGAGCCGGCTTCAGAGCCACCTACTGGGCCTCGCGCTGAGCCGCAAATGAGCTGCGCGCTGAGCTGCGCCGTTTTTCTCCGCCGGCTTGGCTGCTGAAGTTAAGGTTCTATTTGTTTTGTTTTTAATTCTGAATCGCGTTAAATGGTCATAATTAATTCGTTATAACTTTGTTTTAAGCGTGGTTGGGACCATTAGACTCAGAATTAAATTTTCTATATTCTGTAAAATTTTCAAAATTTTATGAAAATAAAAAATATTTTCCTGAAATAATAATTCATTATTTCTGCTTTAAAATGCATCTGGTGTTGCATGATTAAGTTTCTGGGACTAAATTTTTTATTGTAAACTATTGTTGTAGTTTACTATTTACTGGTATGGTTATTTCATTTTACCAGATTCTGGAATATTTATTTCTAATTTTATGTGTGTTTATTAGTTATTTAAAATTCCAGAAAATACCAGAAAATTTCAGAAGTGATATAATTTCTGTTATGGCATAATTTGAATATTAAATATGGCATTTTTTTTTTGGGGTTTGTAATATGTTGTGATTAGAATAGCATGATTAATTTTTTTTTTATTTTAATTCCGTTATTAAATGTAACATAGCATGTATTGATTGTGAATCTACACTATGATGCTATTGTGTGGAATTAGAATATTTTATCATGTTTTTTTTTAGACATGCCATAATCAGTGGGAGGTTGTTCGGTTGAGAGAAATCTTTGTTGATTTACTCCCGAAAACTAATATTTTGCGCATGAATTAAATTAAATTTTGGATAATTGTCACCTGTGGCGCAAGAGATGATTACGAGCATAGCGAATTTTCGATCTTGCGACTTGTGTAATGTTGTTACTATTTAATTTAGATTTTTGTGGCAAAATTATATTATGCTAATCTAATTAATCCCAATGCGAATTTCTCTCTAAATTGACTTAGCTTATGGAAGTTAATTGGTTGACCTAGATTTAGTAAAGATGTTCAAATGTGAAAAATGTAATCCCATTCTTTAGATGAGCAAAAGTCTTGGACACTTTAGGTCAAACCTTAATTGAGCCAAAGTAAGGAAACATGACTCAAAGTCGCCGTGGTTTTGTTTCCTTGTTTGGCATAATAAAAACTAATGTGTGCGCTATGGTTAGTGGCACACTACATAGTTTTGGTTGGCGCGTTTTGGAATTATGAAATTAGTAAGCCCTCAATAGACCTGTATATGATCTTGACTATTGAGCTACGTGGATTAACTTTGTAATTTGACTTGTAAATAATGTTACATCATTGGATGAAGTAACATTCAAGAGTCACGTCATCTAAGAAATGCGAGCTTAAATAAATTAGTCATTAAGTGTAAGACGAGTAGCCAGTATGAGCAGTGTTTTGCTCTCTACCCAATTATTGGGAGTGGATGGAGCAAAATTTCATGCACTATAATCGTGTGCGTTGAAATATCACGTGAAGTTAAAGGATTAGCACTTAGAAGCTGCAAAATCTATTAACACTAAGTGAAAAGATTAGCGCTTAGAAGCTGCAAAATCTATTAACACCATGTGAAAAGATTAGCGCTTAGTGGTTGCAAAATCTATTAGCTTTGCCAACTTGTCTAAGTTTGGACACTTACTGTTTCCACACTTGAGTGTGAGACATGAGGAGGGGCTTCTTTGTATGATTCCTTAGCTAGGCTAACGTTTTTGAATAACGTTTACCAGTAAGCGCAAACGTTGAAGCATAATAATGAAAAGGTCAAGGCCAACAAGGTTGTTATGACTCTAAGAATTTGACGCATGTGTAACGCCCTCAAAATTAACCCATTATATATATCATTGACATGCATTATTTAAAGAAGACAATTTATGAATTCATTCATCAGAGTAATACTAAATAAAGCATTACATGTAACATCGAATAAAACGCCCTACAGGCTTACATCTTTCCAAGCCAACACTTGGATACAAAAATATGAGTTCTAACTCAATACAAGAAAAGCCCTAGGCTTGAATGTTTACATGTAATAATAATTAAAGACAATTAACTAAAGGTAGTCTTCTCCAATCCAGAAGCCAAACCCTCCCAAGCTAAGTCCTTGGAGGTAGTTTATCACCTGAACCTGAAAATGATGTTCCCATAAAGGGTGAGCCACAGCCCAGTAGAAATATACTAAACCACATATAAGCAATGAATAAAGCAATAGCATTCAACAGATGGTCAACCAAAATAATCAATTACTTCATTTTACAGACTCATGACATTATTGCCAAAGATACGTTTTACTTTCCAATTTAATCAACATGGTTCAGAACCTGGCCAAACTTATAACAGTGAAATCACATATATCATATTCACATCCTTCCAATATTAACAACAAATGAGACTCAAGCTCAAATCAAAACACTTCATACTTCATGATTCAAATTGGTTCCAAAATAAATGGATAGAAGATGATGCAATGGCAAAGGCAACTATGTTATAGCTATTGAGTGAATCCTCAGATTGTCTTTGGGAGAAACAGATGACCTATATTCCTTGATTTTTTCTTTGTTGTGGGAGCCTAAAGTACGCTATGTGGGCGTATTCGGCATGATAAGAATTGGTCATGAACCAGTGGCTTATTATACTTGATCACATTAATGAGATGATGACACGATGGTTTGAGTAGGCCTTCTCGGGCCCACTCGCTTATGACATCCTGCTCTCATGTGCATGTGTAACTTTGTTCGCAATGGGTGCGCACAAGTAAGTAGGAAAGCCGCAGAAGGTCATTTGTTTTGGCGCATTTAGTCCACTATGATATTTTGTGACTAGATATGTGTGAGGGTATGATAGCTAAGCCTTAATCTCGACACATTTATAGATTACGATACGCATCTGAGTCAAGACTATTTGATCTCCCATAAGTCAAAAGTTTTGAGATGATTTTTGACATTGCACATATGAGGTCGAGATCAACTAGATAAGTGCTTTTGTGCTTTTAGTTTTGACCAAGGTGGCGAGTATCTACTTGAGTTATTTTTTAGAAAGCTCGTGAAGAGAAATGGATGCTTAGAAAATTGATTATTCCTAATACTCAATAACACAATGGTGTAGTAGAGATAAGGAATTAAGTATTGTTAATGTTAGGTGGATGATGGCGCAAAATGTTTTCCAATTGGGAATTGCACTTTAGTTTGTTGCCTATATCCCTAACGAAATGCCCTTCATATCAGTTTTTACACTCCATTTTCAGTAATGGGTTAGCGAAGAGCCATCTATGGGCGATCTGTAACCGTTAAGCAACTTATCTTTATTTTACTTCTCATAAGGTTGCGAAGTTAAGACCAAGGGTTCAATAGCGCATTATTGTATGATGTCTTGTAAACACATAGGGTCGTGTGGCGCATTATTGTATGCGGTCATGCAAACCCTCCGGGTCATGTGCATATAGGTAAGCAGCTTTGTGGTAGTGTAACTAAGTCACATAAAGTTTTATTAGTAAAGGTGACGTGAATAGAGTTTTTTGGAACTCTATAAGATGGAGAATTCCAAGCATAGCGCTCTATGTAGCCTAGTTGAGAATGGAAAGAAATTTCCAATATTCTAGGGACAGTGGGAGTGATGTGCCTACTAATGGATTACTCCATTAGAGAATAATACTCTACGTTCTTAGTTGCGTGATAGCGAATG